GTTTTTTGTCTCATTCTTTTTTCTGACTTTGGCTCTGCTTTTTATTTAGAGGCAGACTATTAAATTATCCAAATTAATGACAAAAAATGGCCTAAAAAAACAACTGGCAATAGAATCGGCTAATCACCAACAATATATTAGCCCAACCCTGAAGTGGCCCAAATTAAAACAGCAAAGATCAGAGTCCATGTGATTCGTGCTTTTCGAAAAAAAAACGACGAGTCACATTTGAGCCTGAAAAAAAATCGGATTTGGTGCCTGCAGTGTGAACGTAGCCGACACACAACACAACACACTGCACAAACTCATCAATATCATCTTAATGAGAGAGTTTAATTCTGCAGATAATCTGATCTAGTTACTGCTTCACTGACTGCATTTTTATTATAAAAAAAAATCCAAAATTTCACCTCCGGAGAAGAAATATCTGCAAACTAACAGCAGCCAGTACCTGCTCTCTCTCCTAGCCTGCATAAACCATGCAGCAATTAAACACACTGTGAATTAATTAAACCGTGGCAAGTTTGCATTTCCAATTATAGCTCTGCCCCCAAACATGCAGACACACCCCACATACATAAAAGGGCAGAGGGTAAATTAAATTACAGCGGAGCGGCCGTGCTGAGATTGAAATTCAGAGGGGGAGGTTTGGTTTGATAATAAAAACAGGGATCTCGTCTGTCAATAAAAAACTACTGAGGTGCTTCAGGGAAGATTGAGGTGAATGGAGGTGTAGAAAAAAAAAGATGCCAATTACCTGGAGAGCAGATCCAAATACTGCCAACTGTGAGTCTGTGAAATTGTGTAGGAGTACGACTGAATACAAGAATGTGATATGACTAAAGTAACAGTAAAAGCAGCACTGATTCATGCATTCAATTCCCCGGAGAGAGTCTTACAGTTTTATTGGCACCTGGAAAAGAACTTGATTTGTTTCTCAAAAACAAGCAGTTTGGAAAGAGGCCAGACTGTGATTTGTCATTTAAGAGGTGAAACCATTCAAACACTCTTGTTGTTCTGCTGTGATCACAGAACGCCGCTCAACAAGGACTCTTTGACACATTTAATTAGATTTATTGAATCTTAAAGAAAGATGAGTTTTTTGCGACCTGGGTCATATTTCTGTAGTTACTGCCGTCCATTCTGCTAGTTATGGAACTGTTATTCAGCAGCTTTACTGGGTTTCACATATGGAGTCAGGTTTTTAATCATCTCAGTCATTTATTACAGTTGCTCAGCCAAACAGGTGAATGCTTTCAGACCTTGTTGTCTGTTTGTTTGTCTCTAAGTTTGCAGGATATTTCAAAAACTAGTCAAATGTTTAATAAAATGCGGAAAATGAAACCACAGGAAGGGCAACCAATCACCAGCTTCTGATGGTTTGAAGGTTTTTTAACATTTCATATACCACTATACCTTACTTGCATGAAAAGAAACAAATAAATCACGACTTTTTCGATAAAAGTGCTAAAAAAGCTCTCAACATGATATAATAATATAATAATAATCATATTCTTTCTAATTTGGAAGTAAAATCAATTAAACTTACAACACCGCATTTTTATAATAATGGTCAGTTGCATTGCAAAACTACACTGCCTTTCACCAGGGCTGTGTATTGGCCAGAATCTGGTGATACGATATGTATTACAATACAGGCTTTACAATTCAATACATTGTGATATATTCCGATTTAAAAAAAATCTAATTTTAGGAAACACACAGTGAATAAAATACAACAGAGCAGTGGGATCTGCATTTGGGTTTATCACAGTTTAAGCATAAAATAGTGCTTTTGAGAATTAATACGATATCACAAAACTAATAATCGGGATACGATATATTTTTACATGCGCCACACATGGAGCCACGTGGCTCCACTTTACATAAGATGTCAACTAAAATCCAGTTATGTAAGCTCTTATTATTTACTGCACTATAATGCTCGTAGTCAAAAAAGTGAGACATGCAAGTCTCATATGCAAAAACATGATTTTCATTCCTGCGGGTTGAACCATAAAGTACTCTATATGGCCAAAAGTATGTGGACATCTGCACATTTGGACTCTACAGCCACCATGAACAAAACCCTGCAGCTATAACACCCTCCACTCTCAGGTCTGGATCAGCACACTGTGTAGCACACTACAGCACATGAGCAGGGGCATCCAGATACATTTGGCCTTATGGTATGGTTATGTAATGTAATAAGATATTATAAAGGAAATATTAAGTTCATAAATAACTAAAGCTGAGATATATTTTTAGCTTTCACTTCCACAGAAGTAGTTCTGATAGCAGGTAACTGGACTTGTTTAGATGATTTTAAACGTCTTAAGCTTTTCAGTAATTGTAATAAATGACCGGCATGAGGGCACAAACTACAAAAGAAGACCCGGGTTGGAAGAAACCCCAATCTCCCTTTAAGTAATCGAGGTTCATGAAGTTCATGATGAACATAAAGCTTTTATTTTCTTTGTGAATCATAAAAATCCAACAGAACATCAATTAAAGCAGTAAACATCCGTATAAATGATTGAATCAGAGGGTGGCCAAATCATTGTAAACAAATACCAGAAACATGGAGGAACGAAATACAGTCAACTTAGGAGGAACTGAAAACAAGAACAGAAAAGAAAAATAAAGATTATAAAGCATTTCTGGGGGACATGCTGATTGTCAGTTAAATGAAATGGCTTACATGCAGATGTTGTCAGGCTAGCTGCTTTTCAAAAGACGAGGAAAAACAGCAGAGTCGAGTTTGGGGTAAGAAAATGACCCAATAAAAAAAGGCACATTTCACAACCAAACAAGAGTCATCAATCATTCACACACACACACACACACACACACACACAGTTACATCGTCTCCAGATTGAATTATAAATATCTATCCAAGGTTAAAGTGTTTGTTCTTCATTCAAATGTTACACTTCAGGTGACGAAGAAGACGACCTGTAGCTGGACGAAAACCAACCGGCACAAAAGCGGGAAAGTAAACATTTAAAGCTGCAGTAAGTAACGTTTTGTCATATTTGCTGAAACTTTTCACTATATCCTGACAGTAAAAATCAGGTTCCTGTGGCTCCTCCTAATGACATTTACAAGAGCCAATCAGAGGCGAGAAAGATCAAAAGATGCTTTGGTTTGGAGGACTGAAGATAGTTGATAGTTGAGTCTCATTAGGAGGAGCCACAGGAACCTGATTATTTTACAGATTATCTGTCTCATGTTCTACTGTCAGGATAAAGAGAACATTTCTGCAAATATGATACATTTATTTGAATGAAAATGACCTACTGCACCTTTATATGACATATAGTAATTGTGTTTTTATGTGTTTGTGCATGCAAGGACGGATTCCCTTTCCAATCTAATTAGACAAAAACTAGACAGAAAACAGAGTGCAGGACTGATATGATACTGTGTCCTAGGAGAACCCATTGAGTCCATATTTGGTCCAGTTAAACACTCAGATGCAAATTCTCGCTGCAGTTTGTTGAAGCCTGAGATCGACAATAAAGCTGACCAGGCTACAAATCAGAGGCACCTCTTCCACCTTCAACAGTACAACAACGCTACGACGATGCAAGAGTAGAAATCTCACAGTTGCAGTTCCTTAAAAACACTCGAGTCACAGCACATTACCTTTCAATTTAAACTGCATTACAGCAGTTGATGAAAGAGCTGTACAGCGTCTCTGACCGCTCCACAACCCACTGAACTACAGTACCCTGATACTGGGCTCGCATTTTAATTGAATACAGTTGTAGTGGCACTTGAATACGTAACGTGTGAACATATCATGACAGCGCTATTGTGTGAGGACACAAAGTGGAGGTCAGAAAGCTTTGCAGAGTCAATTATTTTCTGTATCCAGACAGTCTGTGTTATAGTGCAATTTAAAACCCATACACACTTTAACGTGTTTTTAGTGAGTTTACGTCAGTCTGAGTTAACTGGTAACACAACATAAAGCAAAGGTACTGTTTCTATGGTTACCTGCTGTTTAATGTACATTAACTTGACCTGCCAGTCACTCATACACCTTTCCCTGCATAATAAAACCTGCACAGTCTACCTTGCAGGTACAGTTGTGAAGGTGGACAGTTACCACAGCACACAGGAAGTGACAGTGGACACAACATTTGGTAAAACTAAGTTATCTGCCAGTCAGAGTATTTTCTGTGGCCATGGTATGGATCGATCAGCTCTGGTCTCCGGTCTACAGCGCTGAAGTCCTTCAGCAACCTACAACACGAAAGTCTCTTTTCATCCAAATTACAAAAAATAAACCAAACAAAATTCTCGTGGTCTAGTTAGCATTAGCAATGAGATGATATACGGCGCTATCGTGATAACATTTTTATTTATTATCATGGTCAATTTCCATTATGGTGATAATTGTGATTATCCTCAAATGAATTGAAAAAGCTAGCTCGTCACATACAGTCCTTTATTGATTTCCTGTTTTATTTTGAAGGGGGACAAGGGGAACCTGCGTCTCACCATGGCTAAAAGAAAAAAGATAAACCGGATGTATGGAAATAGTGTAGATAACAAAATAAGGAACTGTAAGAAAGACTGTCCAACGTCCAGGTGATGAGGCGTCTATATGTGATGCAATGAATATGTGTTTCTTAACAGAATATAGTCATGACATTAAATTTGTCCCATGCCTAATCCACATACTCCACATACCACTAAATGAATAAGTTTGTGGGTTATTGTTTCCACTAAGAGTTGTTGCTGCTGAATTTTAGACACATAATTCGTCAAGGTTGTACGCGTCACAAACATTTTCCACTCACCATTAAGGACCCAACCCTTTAAAATGACACAGTTAAAAGATTAAGTAGTCAGGGCAATAACGGAGTCCATCAACAGAGGCACACAGAAGAAGCTGCCAAGTGTCAGTGAAATCAGCATTACTACAGTACAGTGTGCAGGTAGTGTATGAACTCTGGAGTCACAGCTTTGGCTCTCTACTCTTCACTTTTGGCCACTGACGCCTTTCCCATATCCAGAGCTGAAGCCCTGTAGATCACCATTACGCTGTCAGGTGTTGGGCTGTGTGATAGATACAGTATGAAGCTGACAGAGTCATGAATGGGTGCTGAGCAGTAAAAAGACGGGGAGACATGCCCCGTGTCTGAACTACAGGCGCGAGTGTCTGGTGATAAACAGAGACGGAGCTCTTCCTGGAGGCCTATCTGTCAGTGGATCTGTCACGGAGGGGGCTTCATTGTTCATGAGGGGAATGGATACACGTCAGCCATGAAAGACTGATCGTCCCTGATTCGTTCCTGTTGGTTTCTGTTCCAATTTCATTATTAAGCCAAGCAGTTTAGCAACAGAGCAAGTCTGGATGTGACAGGCTCTTCTTCTTGTTGCTACTCTGCTCCTTTAAACGTGCTTTAATGTATTTTGATTGGAATATTCTGCCCTGAAGGTCCCATGGATCTCTCAGCATCTGAACACCCTACCTTTTCCATAGTTTGGGATTTGATTGAGACACACTAAAACAAAGAGCTACAGGATGGACGACCTGCACAACTCTTAAGTTAGTCTGCTTAAAACAAACTGTCGGATCATCGGACAGCATCTGACACCCCCACCCCCGTTCCAACGCTGGAATTGGGGGTCAAGTTACATAATTTTAACGCAAATTCAACCAATCCCAGTGAATTCTGCACGACCTTGCAATTTTGTCCAGTCATGGCAATCACAGCAGTCCCCTGCACCAAACGTTAAGCCATCCATCACCAAACTGCTAGCGACAAAAAGTTGCTTTCTATTATTTTCTGAATTATACCAAAAAATCTATAAATTATTCTTGCAATGTCCTCCTGCAATTTCATTGCAAAACTGCCTTAAAACATCGCTCTTTTTAAGACAAACTGCTGTGAAATCAGGCGTTTTAGGCCACAACAATCTCCAAAAGAGAAAACCCAACAAGCAAGCCAACCTTATGCAGTTTGACACTTTGAATAAACTAGTTTGTCTTAATACTGAACCCTTAACGTCTATTTTTAAAGTTGTGTGAGAGCAAATCCTTGTGAAAACCTCACACTATGTTTGTTGACAAAACATCCGTTTAATAAATGACCTTTTTCACTTCCCTTTCATTGTTGTCATGCACTGTTCCAGCTTTTTTGATGGAACAAAAACATGTGACATTTGGTCCCTTTTAACAAAGTTGATAAATTACTCTTAATTAAATTTAATAGATGCAACAAACGTCCCATAAAAAGGCACACTGTCCAACCAGCAGCAAGTAAGGCCTCGTGTACAGGAACAAAGAGACTGGCCAAACAGATAGAGATTTTTTTTTGTTTTTTTTTTTAAAGAAAGTTCTTACAGCAGTGAGTTCTCATTTCTTGGTGTCCGTCAGGATGATGTTGGCTGTGACAAACATGAGGCACGAGGCGGCCCACAACCAAACAAACCACACCCAGAAGGCGTGGCGGAAGGGAGACTGGTGCTTGTTGATGGCATCCCTGCCCATCACGGGCTCCAGATGGCGTCTAGAGTAATACACAAGACAGGCTGGGATAATGTACTGGATCCCTGTGCCAGCATAGGATCCTGTAATGCCCACCAGGGACTCCAAGTTGTGGGTGCAGAAGGCCACCACGATCGGGGGCACCAGTGTAATGAGGGGAAACACGACACGGTCCACCACCCACGGGTAGGTGCCTCCGTCCCGGTGGAACAGGGTCTTCCAGTTGTTGCGCAGTGTGACGGCGATGATGGGGAAGTTAGTGCTGATGGTGAAAACTGGGAACAGGCCGAGGAAGTAGCGCAGGAATGGAATATCTAACACGTTGCAGTTGTCCGTGAAGTTCAGGGTGTACATGTCGTGCAGCAGCGAGCTGTCGAAGCAGAAGATGGCGGTGAATGAGAGGAGGAGGTAGAAGCCCAGGATCAGGATGTAGTCTGCCAACACCAGGGTGCCGACACGCTTCTTGTCAGAGATGGGCGTCACCAGGGAGGGCAGGGAGTGTTGACACATGAAGGAGTAGACGCACACCCCGAACAGGTTGGGCACTCCAGAGAAGGAGGCGACCGGTGGGCGGCCCTCGCCGGTGCCTTTACCAATGCGGATAAGAGCCAAGATGATCATCATAGTGAACGCTGTGAAAAGACAACAGAGGAATTAGGAACAAACTGTGACAGTAAATTATCCACTAAGATGACAACAAGACATAAACTTACAACATAAAAAGACAAATTTATTACATATAAGGTGTGTCTCTGTGTAAATCTGCCACACCGTGTTTATACTAACTTTCACTGTTGTTTAAACAGTCCGTCTACTGCTTTAAAATGGAAGGTTAGACACCACATGTGAATAAAGTTCATTCTCTTAGTGTTCAACTGTCTTCCAGCTGTTTGTCCCAGAAACATCAGGCGTGAAAAAACAACAACTAGGCAACATTTCATGGTCCGACATAAAGTGAGTGGAGTCAGGTGAAGATAGAGTCTCCACCTCCTGCTGTTCACATCGCATCTCCAATTGATTTCTGGAGGTGCCTCTCTGTGCGCGTCTAAAGGAGACCTCTGAGCGTGGCATGAAGTCCTGTTATGGGCTGACAGTCATGTGGACCCAGTAAGCCGTCTCACCTCCACACACACTCAATCAGCCCGTGACACCAGGAGTTAGTCATGGCCCCGCAATGGCCAGCAGCCAGCTCCTCAACTTTCATCATCAAGCTGTCCTTTAAACCCAGGGTGACATCTAGGAAGTACCAGGAGGGTCACAATTTGCCACACATATGCAGAAAGTGATTTTATGTCGTATGCTTCCATTCACTCTGTGAGACTGGCTCCCCTGCTGCCTCTAATGGAAACACCTAAGAGGTTAAGTACAGCAGAATAGTTTCTGTTTCCAGCACAGGTTGTAGTGCTTGAACAGGGTGCAGGGGAGGTGTGAAGTTTCAAACAAGCTCTATTAATCAGCCACTGTGTGCTCCTGTAGTGGCACTTTAATGTATGTCAGGAGGATAAAATTCATTCAGATTATCAGGGACGCACCGTACGAAGGGAAGGAAAAACCATCAGCGACAAAGGCGTTCAGGACAGAGGTGAGTGTCTGGAAAAATGAACAACGAGAATAGTGCTACTACTTTTATTTTTTATAATTATTAGGAGAAGTCCATAGATACATATCTAGACTGAAAGATAATGAGTCCAAAACAAAGAAGCAGCATCAAGTTGAATAAGAATAGGCATGAATAGGAAATACAACAAGGAAAACGAGGACTAAACCCAACAAATTAGCTAAAACAACCAGCACGTCATAGCTGCAAACCAATGCAAATTCACAGTATACCAAAGAATGGAACTGTTGTCATACCATGTGTATTTTCCTATCTGTGGTATAAAATTCAAACATACCGTAAAACAAAGAAAGATGGGATGTAGAATGAAATGAAATATACAGTATGCAAGTTGCCTACTTCCGTCATAGGTTGTCTATGGGATATAAATCTAGGAGAGGAGATCTTGGGGGCACTAAAAAAGAAAGCATGAGCGACTGACTTTAAGCACACGGCTACATTTCTCACCCTTTCTTACACTTTTATCAGAGGAGATGTAAGCACACGCACACACACACACACATCAGTGGTGAGAGTCTGTAAACCTGTTGCACAAGTGTTCAATATTGAATGCATCTTTGGCTTTCATCCAATGTAATCTCTGACTCTGGGGAAAGCTCTGCGAGCTGCAATCCTCCCCTCTCGACCTCAACCCTCCTTTGCAGAGGTCAGATGGCTGGGCATCAGACCAACCTTCAAGGACACGGACACACGCATGTAGGGCTGCAAATAACTATTATTTCCATTTTTTGTTAATCAGCCATTTACTTTCCAGATTAATAAAGTGGCTATAAAATGTTAAAAATCTGTTTAAATTATGTAGTTTGTTTTTTTAGGGGAAAACTGAACAAAATCTAAAAATATTAAACTTACTTTCATATATGACAAAGAAAAACAGCAAATTTGAGAGGCTGAAACCAGAGAAAATGTTGCATTAATTTCATGAAAATGACTAATCCATTGTGAAAATTGTTAATTTCGTGTTGATAGCTCTATAAAAGAGAACAGTCCCACAAGATATAATTTTTGCATTATATCTGTCTCCAACTGTCTGCCGTGTCGGAGAAACAAACCTTTCTGCTTTACTCTCTCCCAAAAAACATCTTTAATGTGTGACAGAGCCATCACTACAACCCATCTGTCTCTTCCCTTTGCTCCTTCTGTCTTCTTTCTCCTTCAAACTCTCATCTTCTTCCCACCTTCCTGTCTGTTATGTGTGCTGTACGTGTGAACCAGCGAGCAGCCACCTGTCTGCCCGCTGAACACAAGGGAGGAAGAGATGCAGGACAGGAGAGCGGGAGCTTTTCTCCTCACTGACACCAACACTTGCAGGAAGGAAACAAGCATGGGGCTTTTAATTAAGAGTGCCTCAGGGTGTTTGGGCACTAATACACTACTTAAAACACCTTTAACACAAGTCCGGCCAAGATTAAGATGATGCAAGAAAGAGCCTGTGATAAAGGACAGCATGGCTGGTTTTACTGGTATGCTCCCAGTTAAATGTAAATGAGGGTTAATAACTAAATAATATTCCAAATTGCAAAATCTAAAGCATAACACCTCCTTTTTTTCTGCCCCCAATTCACAAAAGGTTTATGCTAATTTGAAGCAGAGAACTCATTTATCTTACTTAAGACGCAGGAACTAACCCCTTATTTTTCAAAGAAATTGAAAGTCAATCAGATGGTAGAGAGGAGCTGAACACCAGGAACAAAGCCACCAGAACGAAGCTTTTCATAATGTGCTCATTTGTCACCGACTCTCAGCTGCATCATGCTATACGAGGTGGGCAAATCACGTCTGCCCGTGACAATTTTATCGCACTCCGTGCACCTATAGCTATGAATCTCAATGCTGAAGCACTATGCAGCCATGAAATAAGGGCACATTAGCTTTGATCACCTTGACAGCTTTGAAGGACCAAGGAAACAAAGTCTAGTGCTTTATTTACGTAGTAAATTCACTACGGCCTCACAGGTCACTGGAGTGATGTAAAAGAGGGGTGTAAGTCCCATTCAAACACATTACTCAATGCCTATCACAAAGTATACTGAAACCAGTAACACATACTGTGTACCTGTAATACGAGATTGTGTGTGACTAGACGAGCTGCCATTGTTTCCTTATATGGACAAGACGAAACTATGCAGCCAATGAGAGCAGCTTAACTTGCAGTACATCACCTCCGCTGGCCCTGACAAACTGTTATGGCGACGACCATAACGCCAAACTTGAGGCTTCAGAACGGCTACTCCACAAACTAATTGGTGACGTCACGATAGGTTCATACTACCTACCTCGTACTTGGTATTGATAGGATGATGAAGCCCCCATTAAAAGACGCCGTTGACTCCCTGATGAAGGCTCATCTCTCAAACTTCTATGTCACCTACTAGAATCCACTAGCAACACCCATCTTTCCAAAGACCCCCCACAAAACTCATTCATTCCTATGGGATGAGCCATTTACCTCTGCAGATATCTGTCAGGAATGTTGATTACACGCACTTTCAAACTGACACACTGGGCCCCACCAGTACAACAGGAACCGAGTAAATTGAGCAGGTGTCAAACAGCCACATATCACGTCCACATAACTAGTGCCCGTCCATCTTGTAGCCTGTGATTTATATTACCTAGATGGGGATGGCAATGACCTTGTGAGGAATGCTTCAACTTAACAACCCCCCATAGGAGGCTCTTACAGCTGTATTCTCACTGGAAGCAAACAAAGCTGTTGCTGTTAAGCCAAGGCTGGCACACACTCTCAATGCTCCAAGGAGCCATTGACTCTCGTACGGAGGAGAATTCTTCGGCGGCTATCTCAGAAGAGATGGGATTCCTGGACTCAATTAACGAGTAGAAAATGGTAGAAGGTGAGAGGTGATCAATCTCGTGTGTGATGAAGCACGAGAAAGCTGCAAGATGGGGGGTCCCGCTCCTGGGAGAGAATGACTTGGACACTTAAACGTGAGCGATTCATTGATGATAGTGAGAAGGTCAAGGACTTCTGAGCTGTGCTTTAATGTTCGAGAGTGGCACTGGTGTAACAGCATTTCAAGCACTGAGGAAACTCTAATGCAACGTACGGTTCTGGTGCTGCTGCACTACTGTTTTCTCATCTCGTTTGCCAATTTAAACATCTCCCCCTCTAGTGGGTTTAGAGCACAGAAATCATCCCATCATTAATTAAGAGAGACACTCCTTGAGCACTCTTGGATAATCTCTTAGGCAATTAGTAGTTCTGGCCCTTTGCCCAGCTCCCACCAAGGTCTCAGGATTTCTTGCTGAGGTAGAGCTTGATCTCTTCAAACCCACCAGGACCGGAGCTAGCGGGCTGCTGCTGCAGTGTTCGGTGGGCGACTGGGTGATAAGTGGTCGCCTTGCCTCTTAACAAGTTATGTGTTCTCAGATAGGGCTATCAGTAAACACAACACAGAGCGGCACAGCAGTTGGCCCACTGTTTAGCACCCCATACTGCAGCTCGGGTTCACAGGGATGAGCCAGCCAAACTCCATGACACTGTCTAACAGCTTCATGAACACATCAATTAGTCCACTCACTCAGCCAGAGCTCAGAATATTTGTACACAGATAAGAAGTTAATGCGCCAGTCTCAACAACCTGCAAGACAATCCAATCACATCTTTAAAAAAGGGTTATAACCAATTATGTTCATGCTTGCAGATATGTTCCAGCATACACCCTGTACTCTATTGAGATGCCCTGAATCGGTGCGGTTGGTAGGAAGATGTCAAAATAAGTTTAACTTTAAAGCAATATCTTCTATTCTAGGCCAGGGGTACCTGCGGCTGTTT